GACCGCTGAAGTCACTCAAGAGTTGACTAAATTGATTTCTTCCTATGGCAGTAACACAAAAGTGCTTGTGATGTGGCCACATTAAAGCAGCGCTGGTTTCAAATCACCATTTATCTTTTTCTTGCCTCTTAGATTTACAAACCATCTTTTAAGGTGTCCTCCTGGTGCGCAGATATAGTCCCTGAGTTATCTGTGGTATTAAGCAGTTTGAGTGATGATCGCCTGAGGGTCAGGAGTTGGAGTTTGCCAAATCGTTCTCTCCCCCAGCTGTATCTTCGAGCCATGATCTAGTGCGCAGGGTTTCAGGTTCCCCCACCCCCAGGATAAAACCAGTTAAAGTTATAAAGTTAGGCTGGAACTCGAAGTGGACAGTTTAGTTTAGCTGGGTTATAACTAAAAGACACACACACCTCTCTCCGTCCTCTCCTGTAGACGTTTTATACCAAGACTGCCCATTTCACATAAATGTTTGCTCTGATTATCAAGTCGATAGGAAAGAACAAGGAGAAATCTCAGGAACTAAATGCTGTTTGTCCAAGAGGGACACTGGGGACAGAACTGGCTGCTTGGGCCCAGGTAGGCGAGTCAAAGGCATTCTTTGCAGGTACAGGTCTCAGGGAACCGCAGTAGCCACCTACTCTGCCCCATGTTCTAGAGAATGGTCCAATTCCTAAGTCTCCCAACTTCTGCAGAAATTTGTACAGCTTCAGAAATATATTAGAGACCCTTCCAGAAAGGCATACAGTGCCAAAAGCTTTTCCAAAACCAGGAAAAAGATCTAGGTATTCATTCAAGAAATGAGCATCTGCTATGTGCCAATGTGGCATAAAGACATGACCCCTGCTCTCAGAGCCCAGTCTCCTGAGAGAGGCTTCCCCTTAAACGTGCACAAATAGATCATCTCAAACATTAGAACGTGCCAAGAAGGAAAGTAACAGGATTGACCTTATCTAGAAAGCCAGGGGGGCTGAGACGGGAAGGGAGGGAAGTGAAAAAGCATTCCAGACGTAAGGAGCTGTCCTAAGGCAGCCGGCCCTGGGCTAAAAAGTGCTGAGAAAAGCCCTGCAGCCAAAGCAAAGTGATGGGGGAGGGTGGAGGGGAATGAAGGCAGCGAGAGCAGAGCCACATCCCACGGAGACCGGGTCTCACCCAGCGTGCACCGGAGAACCATGAAGGTTCTGGAGAGCATGCAACGGTCCAGGAAGACAGAAGCCAGGCAAAAGAGGGTGATGGCTCTGCAGAAGGTGGGGAAGGGGAGGTGAAGCGAATGTCACAAGATTCATTTAGGAGGCAGAACTGAAAGGTGGTGACGTACAACGGCACCTGGCTCCAATAGCTGCTTCAAAGGAAACAAGACTCGGGTAACTGGGCTGCAGAAAAGTGTGATGTGTGACAGCCCCGAGCCCGGTTCTCTGGACACCCCTGCACAACCTTCAGGTCTACAGCTCTGGGAGGAGTGGGATGTTGCAGTCAAAGGATATTCAGGGTTGCAGCTCTCCTTTGAGTACGTGTAAAATGCACATGAACTCTTCAGATACTCAGAGGCAGCCGAAGAGCAGTAGGTCTAGAGTGCTTTTATTGAAAAAGAGCTAGCACCCTCACAATCATGTCGAAATAAAATTCCCTGACAAGTTATTGGATTCTAAATTACAACTAATTCATAAAAATGAAATGGGACGTATTACCCACAGAAATTACTGTACTACAATTTTCACCAAGATGCAATAAACAGAAATCTATTTCCCAAGACATGAAAGTAACTGAAGGATCATAGAAGACAAGTATCTATGGCACTTTCCCTTGAAACACTCAAATCAGCTTCTCGTACTCTTATGTATGAATTCATTTCGACAGACACCCTATGGCATTGTGTAAACGAAGACGACGCACATACTATAAACTGTATCGTTAGGGGAAAGGCTTTACTTTGACATTCCATCAACCTCAAAGCCTCAGAACTTATTTCCTACCACTCTGTAGGTGGAGACCACACTCTGAGACGTCAGCTGTCTAAGCAGGATGCGAGTTATTGCTTCCTCTATTCTGGTATACATTTCTACATTAGACTAGGGGACAAAGAATATTACTGAAAGGCACTCTAAGTTCAGAGAAAACTAGGTTCCTATCACTAAGGGAAGCCTAGACTTGGGACAACAGTGCCTCTGCCTGCCCCCACACCCACCTCACCCCTGCCCTGGGCTGGGAACAGAAAGGCAGCAGAGCATCTGCCTGCTCCTCAGAGCTGGTCAACATTTGCACTACATTCTTGGTATCTAACATAAAGAAACCCACAATGAAATACAGTCTTTATTCCAAAGTTATTTTTATTTCAAATTCACTGAAAGAAATAAAATTATATTTAAAAAAATAGAGTAATCTCACCAACTGAGGAAAGCCAGGAACAAGAACAGGCTAGGGGCTTCCTCCCGAGAGGCGCGGCTCCAACAGCGACAGGACCAACCCTCTTCCTTCCTAGCTTTTGTCAAACAAAAAATTTTTCCCTATTTCTAAGGCATCAAAAACACTCGAGTGTTTTAACTGGGCTGTTCAGGTACAAAGCTTCAAGCCCTCTAAGGGGGATTGAGAAACATCAAAAGCTGCTCCGATTTCCTTTGTTGTAACACCAAACATTAAATTGTACATATTTCTACTTATGTAAATTTGAGAATTTCACACTCGTGACCTGAATTTCAAAAATCCAGTCATATTTTATTAAAATCTTACGACTTCTTGGTAAGAATGTCCAAAGTAACTGAGCTCACATCCCAGTAACTAAAAGGGGCCAGACAGCAGGAAGAACTGTTGCATCGCACCACCTGCAGCCAAGACCTGTCAGAAAACACCCATCCCGGAAGACTCACGTGCAGCTAGAAATTTATACTAAAGCCTAATTCCTAAATCACTAGACCTGCCAGCAAAGGCAGATCATATCCTAATGGCTCATATGTAACTACAGGACAAAAGTTACAGAAGTCATATACAATTCCCAAACTTACCCATTCCCCATACTTGGTTTCCCTCCATTTTATACTGATAAATCTATCAAACTAAAAACTTTCATTCCCAAACACTTCAATGAGATAGTCAAGACAACGGTTAACATTTCTGTTCTATGCATGACTGCTGGTGCTAGTTTTGATTTGCACAGGTAAAAGGAAAGCTTGAATTTTTCCAAAAGGTACAATCTTATTTTATTTGAAATAATTGAGTACATACCTGATGATTTCCCTAAAGCTTCTTTTCCAAGATAGTTAAGTCAATTCATATAATTGGTAACAATAAATTCCATGGGGACAACCATTTCTGAAAGACACTGTTTAGTAAATAAGAGATTAAAAATGTCTGTAGCACCTCTTATAGGTACCTAAAGATTCAAGTGACCTAACTGCATCTCCAATGAGGTGCTATTAAAGATTCAGTAGGATTCTGTGGGTATCTCCTAGTTAGTTGTTTCAAACATCTATCAACCTACAAGTAGATCCATACTCCAACCACAGTAAACTGATGTTGGACCCTAATAGGAAGCCCTATCCTGTCTCCTGGATCTATAGGGAGTTAACCGTCCTCGGACAGTCACTCTCATGGAACAATACAGGGCTCTTGTCATATGCAGAAGGGACTCTTGGCCTTTAATAATGGCTTTGCTGAGTTGCAGGGCACTGTGATGTCTTCTTCTGCCCAGAAGGGCACAGACAGCACTCTTCCACCAACCCAAGGGTGCAACTTGAGTTACATCCTGGTTACACTGTCCCAGGTCCTAGTATGAAACAACAATGTGGCCCCAAACGACCATGTTCAAATAAGATACCTGGTAACTTTTTAATCTGATGTGACTCAGTCTCTTGTCACCAGCCTAGGTCACCCAAAAACAAAAACCAAAAAAAGAGAAAAACACAAATTTGAGCTAGAATTGTTCTTAAAAAAAAAAAAAAGTCAACAAGGACAATCAAAACTACCAACACTTATATAAGCCAGACCCTAGAGGTTTCCATCTTCAGTGACTGCCACTTTTTAGTCTTAACAAAAATGTCAATATCCTGAGTTTTATCAGTATTCTCTTGCTAAAATAATTTATGGGACATAAATGCATACAAATGAATAAAAAGTGGTACAGAAGTCTGGAAGAACAGCCCACTAACTAGAAAATGTTGCAAAAACAATATAAAACGATGTGTTTAAGTGAAATAAATTAAAGGTTAAACCTTACACTTTCAAGTTTTCTTAGACTATTATTTTGGGAAATGGCATGGAGTTGATGATGTATTTTTCTAATAATCAGTTGTTTAAGATCAAATACCAAGTGATCGTTCACAAGAAATTTTTGCTGTTAAAAACCACAGCCCCACTGCAGTGTATTTGAACACAGGAGAAACTACCTGCTGAAATTAATATTCAAAATCCTAATCAGTAACTTGTGTGGCCATAAACTGTTAAGACGTTTTGTTTACTAACTTGGCTGTCCACATGTTATGTTAAAAAAAAAATGCTTACTTTACTAGCATCTGCAGAAACTAAAATTTTGGTACATAAGTTTCTCTAAACCACTGAGTTGTTTTTTTAATTTTAACAAAATAATGCCAATGCAATAACCCAAAGGTATCCCAAATGCTTTGCTTTTACTTTTAAAAAACGATCTGCTTCCTAAATGCTATTTATACTTTTAAGCCAGTTGGCTGCATACTGCCTTTAAAATGCAATGGAGTTTCTTAACTTAACCTGACATCACTATTCAAAAACTTGTACTTGCTGGGGAAAACGGTACTAATTATGCTAAAACAAGGTTTATGCTATACATAAAATCACTCCAAATTATAAAGTGATTGGTTTCTATAGCTCTAAGCATTTTAATACATAATTTAGAAAAGAGTCACACACAGATAAACAGAGATGGCATTCAACTTTCTTTCATCCAATTAACCATATCCATTAAAACCAAGACCTTTCTGCATGACTTGCCAGTTCCCCATTCCTTTTGTCAACCTAGAAAAGAAACATTTCTTGGGAGTCAGGATTTATTAAGAACATCAAGCTCCAGGGCATTTTTTTTTTTTTTACCATATACCTCTAAAACTGTTTTTTATCCCCACAAAAATCCTTATCATTTAAAACCAGATATTCAAATTATATGGCTAACATTTTTAGCTAATCAACTCTTCAGTGCTTATTCTAGAAAACAACCTTCAATGGATCTTTGAATAATGGAGATTCAGCCGCTGATACGAGTAGTGTAGGTAGTCACACCTTTAACGTTAAAGCCACAAGTTGTGACGTTTGAAAGGGGTGAGGTCTACTGTCCTGCATTATCAGAATCTGTCGTATTTTCAGTGCTACTGGATTGCACATTATCTGCGAGGTTGTGTGCATGCTCAAGAAATAAATCTTTCAGTACACTTAATTCCTTAGTCAGCAATTTAATTTTTGCTTCCAACCGTTCATTCTCTTCCTTGAGCTGATTCACTCTCTGCAGCGTATCCTGCGCTTTCTGCTTGCTTTTCAACCGGCTCTTTTTCACCGCCATGTTGTTCCTCTCTCTGCGCTGACGATACTCATCACTGTTGCGATCCATGGGCAAACTCTTTTTGCTCTGCTTGCTTGGAGGCACAGCTTTGCCTCCGCCCCCAGGGCCGGCGGGCACCAGCTGAGGAACCTGCTGTAAGCCGCTGGCATGAGCCTGAGTATGAATGACACTTATTCCATTCACGCCCGGAATAGTGTTCTGCTGTGATACCTTGCTCATTTGGGCACGCTCCCTTGTCAACACAGAACAAGTAGAAATGAAGACAAGGTGATCAATGGTTTGATCTGCCAAGAAATCTTCACATGTACCTAGTTAAAAAATAAATTGCATTAAAATATGTGAAATGACAAGATCAAATAAGATTAAACTTGCATGTACCTACTAGCAGGCCAATATTAATTGATTATGCTGAGAAAAGTCTATGACAACTGCCAACTGCTCCAATGTTTCAGAAGTCTAAGTCATGTAATTTAGAGAGGTAAGTTAATACAGACACACCATACGGCCAAATTCAACCCACCTGAACCCCTGAGGGTACTGCCCATCTGTGCTTGTTATCAAAAATGGGAGGAAAAACAAAAGAATATCACTAATTAGGTAGCACATATGAACCAATAGCACTTGGCAATCTGCAAGAGAGAAATGTGCTATGTTTGGTTTAAACACAATGAGTTCAATTATGATAGGAGAGACACCTGCAATAAAAGAGGGAAAAAGTTTCAACTGTTGGCTCAAGTCAAAATAGAAGGCTGGAGCAGAGTGCCCAGCCCAGTCTCCAGTGCTCATCAGGAAGCACTGCCCTACGATCTCTGCATGGTCCTTACTCTAATATGCAGAGACTGAGTCATCAAGGACTTGACTTCTCTCCCGGAGCGTAAGAATCTTTACAGGATATTTTGAAAAGGTGTTTTTTGCTTGTTTTTATTTTTTTCTATGACCTCAAATGAGAGTAGTTTACAGAGATTTTTTTAAGTTAGTTTCTTGGATCACAGATTTAGGAGCTCTGAGATACCCAATTTGCTTCCCCATCCCATCATGCTTCTAACAGTGTTTTTTTAATTCTCGACATAATTAGTAAACACATCTAAACACAGTCAGCCTAAAACCACAAGGAAAGAAACAAAAGCCCTGATGATGCATCCAAGGAGGTGCAAGCACTGGGACTCAGGCTGGACCAAGAGCCAGAGCAGCTGCAGCGCCTGCACCCACTTGACATTGCTCAAGGAGCACACAGGAAACACCAATTCTGAAAGATTGCGGCATGAAGTCACAGTTTCAGAACTAGTCATATTTGGATTACTATGAATTCAACCAGTTCGCTACAACTGCCTCAAGATGTGTCAAAAGCAGACCTATCCTATCATCATGAGGCCACTTCAAGGCAAACTGACTAAGCTGAGTGAACCGTGCCCACCAAGAAGTCACAGCACTCTTGGAAACGGAGAAAGCAGTGTTAGGAACCATAAAACTATCCCGTTCTCTTTTCACAAAACTGCTAAAACTGCATCACTGGAAAAAAAAACCTGCAGCCAGAATTATGAACTGCCTCAAATGAGTACACCTTACAGTTCTCAAGAAAAGCTCAGTTAGTAAACACCAGTAGCTTCACCCAAACCTTTAGCCAGGCATTTCTGTATAAACACCATTTACTGGTCTGCTTTTTAAAAATCTTTGCTTTTAAAAAGGCCATATATCATTACTTTCCATTGTTTTTTCAAGCCACACAGGCAGCCCTGAGCTAGCCGGTCATCTGTTCTCACTTCAGTGCTAAGGAAACACCAAAAGCTTCCTTCCAAAACCATGATGGATATCTACTCCAAGTCTATCTTCAGTAATGGGTATTTCACATTTCCCTTGATAATTTATCATGTTGCCTATTTTTTCTTCCAGTTAAAAAGTGGCAGTTCAGTATAATTTGAGCTACACTTACCACTAATAATGTTAAAGGCCATCTATACCGTTGCTTATCTATTTGGCATGAAGTGAAAAGTGTTTACTCAATTTTTATGAACTTGTTTAACACGTCTCCTGGGACTGTCTCAACAATCATGATTATGTTCATCTTACTTATCTTCTTTTTTATGTTTTATATGTCAATTAGGTTTTTAGTCTTTAAAGCTACTCTCTAATAAACTCAGAGATAACAATGATCCAAAGAAGTACAAACCAGGAACCAAGTCAGTTCTTGTCTTGGCTCTGACTTTCCCTGTTTCACTCTGGACATACCCCTTCCCTCTGTGAGCCTCGATTTCCCCATCTGCAAATGAGGGATGTAAAATGGTAAAATGCCTTCTGACTTTGACAGTATACCACAAACTTCAGTCACCAAAAACTATTATAGCCTCCAAATTTAGTGATGTTCATGCCCATTTTTGTTCTCAAAGATAACGGAACAGGGAAGGGCTCTTTTACCTCAGTCTGACTCAAGGTACTAGGCTGAACATAGTAGGCAAGGTTTTGAAAATGAGTCCTTCGGCTTGTAAAACAAAGAGTAATCATCAAACTGGTAAAAATGTAAGAAAAGGAAACTTGGAGATAATAAAAAGAACTCCAATTTTTTTTTGTTTTTTAAGTTCTCCAACCGAAGACAAGCCAATAAAGTAGCTCTTAAAGTGAAGAGCTATCCACTAAGGAAAGGGAGTCAGAGCTAAGTGGTTTAAGACTTAACGCCAAACATATTATCAATTTTGTTTTCTACACTGAGCAAAACAGCTGCCTCTATAAGTTACACATTTTAGTTTACACAGTTATCTGTGCTTTTGTTTCTTCCACTAACATTTATTGAGCACCTACAATGCACAAAAAGAAAATAAGTTTATTTCAGATCTGGATATTCAACCCTAAATGAAAGTCTGGCTCCTATGTGGACAAATACTATTCCAAAGTTCAGTCTACAGGAAGCAGAGTGGCACCTTGTTTCCTTGCTGTGAATCATTCAAGCAGGAAGCAGGAGAAAAACTGAAAAGCAGTGGTTCTCAAAGTGTGGTCCCTGAACCGGTAGCAGCAGCATCACCTTGTTAGAAATGCAAATTCTCAGGCTGCCCCAGACCTAGGAATCAGGAGCTCTAGGAATAGGGCTGGGCGATCTTGTTTTAACAGGACCTCCAAGTGATTCTGATGACACTGAAGTTTGACAGCCACTGCTACAAATCAACCATGGACCTTAAGAAAGGTGGACTGAGTGGGTAACATTTTTTAAATTCAAATTCCTTAATTCAAGTAATGTTCATTCAAATCAGTGACACAGTGACAACTCAAAACGTTAAAATGAGTAAAACAAAATCAAAATTTTCTCAAGTTTCACTTGGGAAAATAAACCTCTCGAGGATTTTCCTAACCCTCTTGTCATTTTCTTCACATGTGTACAACCAGATATTCCTCCCCTGCCCCCCCAAATAAATTTTTAACTCCAATTTCCTCAATGAAGGTCTACACTCCAAAATATTCAGATGTTTGTCCCTTATTCCAAATCTGTTCAAATCACTGGTATCTGACAATTCTACCCACCCCCACCCCCCCAAAACACCTCACCTCTACTATCCATCTCCATCCCAACACCACAGAATTACCTCAGGCTGACATCATCTCTCAGGGGCACAGCCTCCTCTGTCTGCACGTTATCTTTTCTTTGTGCTTCTGTCCAATTTGTTCCCCCAGTTTCTTGGTCAATGCCAGCTCGATAGTGTGCCTCCCTGTAGACTAAACTAGAGACAGAACTCTGTCTTTATCACCATATGCCCAGCATCCAGCAGTGGTGCTCAAGAAATATTTGTTGAATACAGCCTCAAAAGCCTAAGAGAAAACACTTGACATAAAAATGAGATTCACTAGCATTAAAATCTCTTATAACAACCATAATTAAATCAAGACTGTTACTAAGATATTATGGTCTCACCACCTAAAGTTCCTGGTCTTTCTTAATGGTATACAGGAAAATTAAAACATTTGCTGCTTCTAGTCCCCAGCCTATACAGTGAACATCATTCTTGTCTGGTCTTTGCTTCATATCAGTAGAGAACCTTTATTTTCCACTTTGCCCAGTTATGCTTCCCATAACCTCAAGTTCTCAGACATATGTTGCCAGGGACTGACAACTCTGTACTACAAGTGAAGTGAAGGTAAACAAAGTTAACAAACACCCAAATGAGCAGGATTTCTATTTATTTGCCACTGCTGGTTTCATGACCCAAAGCAGGGGTCCATGAAGGAGGGTACATCCCTTCAGGGAATACGTAAGTGGTCCACTGGAGTATGAGAAGAAAATGTATGCTCTTTTGTCTTTTTTAAATGTCATCTTTTTACTCTACTTTTAGTGCCATTAACAACACACACAAACTAATACACACACATTGTTTATAAATATACATCTATTAGGGAGTCATGCTCAATTCTTTTTTTTCTTTTCTTTTTTTTTTCGTTTTTAACTGATAGGTCTGGAAAGCCAAAAAGACAGGAGACCAATGTACCTACCAGTATAAGAGCCCATGGAAGTACCCCCTCCTAAGAATACACAATAAACCTGGAATTGTGGCTACCTGCGTTTACCATTTCTGTGATCACGTGAGGCAATCTTAGGCCATAAGACCAAACTCAGCCCCATGAGGTCCTATTTATCTTTACCTAGGACTCACCAGGTGCTGTTTAAATCCCAAGGGATGAAACCACCTGTCCAAGATCAGACAACCTTGCTGACAGTCATGATGTGACCTTGAGAATTCAGAGGATATTCTGGGGGAAAAAATATTAAGTTTTGCTTCCACCTATGTTCTTCAGGGAGGTATTAAAATGACTGGATCCGCCAAGTGTGCCCACCAGAAGCAGGACTCGAACTGAAAAATTCTTCAGCTCACTAGCATCCTGTAATTATTTAGCCTTGTTTACACTAAGTTTTTCCAAAACGGTGCTTCAGCTTTAATAGCTTATCCCAAATACTACTCAAGTAGTAACAGCTGACCAGATTCTAATTTTTAACTGTCAAGGGCTTTTAGATGCAGAATTTCTTAGTAAAGCAAACCTTTATACTATTTTATTTCAAAAGTTTCTTTGAGGGCTTCCCTGGTGGCGCAGTGGTTGAGAGTCCGCCTGCCGATGCAGGGGACGCGGGTTCGTGCCCCGGTCCGGGAGGATCCCACATGCCGCGGAGCGGCTGGGCCCGTGAGCCATGGCCGCTGAGCCTGCACGGCTGGAGCCTGTGCTCCGCAACGGGAGAGGCCACAACAGTGAGAGGCCCGCGTACCACAAAAAAGATAAAAAATAAAAAAATTAAAAGTTTCTTTGAGCGTCCCACATCCTATCTGAATTAAAGGACAACCTCTTCCAATAAGAATTCAACTGAGTGAGTGTACACTGGGAGAGAGAACTACCAATTTTTGTGTAACCCACCAAGGTTAAAACCATTCTGAAACGGACCCATTTTAAGACGCCAGATGACAGCACAAACTTCAGACCAGAAGAAAGCCCAGCAATTAAACCTTCTGAAGAATAAAAACACACGAGCCTACTTGGAAGAACAGATTCTCCTTCCCCTCAAACATGCATTTCCATCCTCTCCATCTAGACACCTTCGCTGGCAATTTTCCTTACTGTGTTCCCTCCAAGCATGCTAACGAAGCAACTTCATTTTTTGCCCTCTCTGTTCTAGTCAGCTCGTGGTTGCTGCACTTTCATCCAACCTGTGTTCAACAGTCACCTGAAGGATATTCAAAGTACAGCTCCATAAGGAAGCACAATATTATTTGTGTAATGTCACATATTTAAAACTCTACCGCCTTCCCTGACTACTCGACTAACTTCTAAAAAGGATTCTCGATTACCCGACACCGAGCAGTTTTGCAGGCGCAGGAAATATCCCAGGTGGCACTGAAGTAAGATACCGTCCACCTTCTGCTATTCTGGGAACACCCTTTATCCCCAGGGGCCAATACGAGCCTGGCTGGTCACACTGCACATTGCACAAACAGAAGGCCGGGTTCTGGAGGGGGCACAGCCCGGCTCGCATCCCGTCCCGGGCCGGCAGCAGGGGCGCTGGGGGAGCGCGGGGGTCTGCGGGTGGCGCCGCGGCGCTGGGCTGGGGCCAAGGATGAGATCAGCGGCCCCGCCGGGTGTTGCCGGCAGGTTGCATCACACGCCGCGCGGGGCCGCCGCCCGCGCCGCGGGCCGCGCGGGGCCTTCCCGGCAAGCCGGCCGCCCAGGGCCGGGCCGGGGCCGCGCCCACGCGAGCGGCCGGCAGCGCCGCGGCCTCCTCCTCCTCCCTCAGCCCGCCCGCAGCCTCCTTACCTGCGCCTCCAGCCCGCCCGCCCCCAAGAGGCCTCCACTCCCAGCGGCCCCGCACGGCGCGGCCCGACCCAGGCCTCGCGGCCCGCGAGTCAGAGCAACGGTTACGAAACCGGTTGCCTCCGCCCGTTCCGCCGCCGCCGCCGCCGCCAGCGCCACCGGGCTCCCCTCCTCGCCGCGGCCGCGCGCCCGGCCGCGACCGCCGCCGCCATAACCAATGGGAGCGCCGGCTTGCGGGGGACGCGCCCTCCCTCCGCGACGGACAGCGCCGCCAGCCAATCGCAGGCTGCCTGGGCGCTGGAGGCGGGCACGTGGCGGAGGCGTAGCCCACTGCGCGGTGGGGCGGGCGAGGCAGGAGCGGCCGACTGGTGTTCCCCGGCCTGTCGCGCGGGACGGCACCCCAGCGGTAGGCGACCCGCTGCGAGAAAGGTTCTGTGAAAGTTGGAGGCGTTGGAGAGCCGTAGCCTTGTGAAGGCAACACCTGTCTTTGGAAAACACAATTTGCTGAGGTGATGTTTTGAACCATCGATTTCTGTTTTGGTTTCACCACGTCCTCGGGGAGCCCCGCCTCAGAGTCGCTGCCGGGGACATTTTCCCGGAACGGCCCACCAGACTCGCCTCCCAGGACGCGGGGCGCCCGACGGTCGCTTCACCGCCCACGGCCCGCGCCCCTCGGAGGGAGCCTGGAGAGTAGTCCTGGACCTCACGGCTCTTGAAGGCAGCTGCAAACTTGTTGAAAGACGAAGGGTGCAAAATTTTCCCAACGTAGGATTGGTGTTGATGTCACTGGTGCAGACTGTGGTTACGGAGAAATGAATTTACACGATCAATTCCCTTGTGCTATCCTCCAGGTGAACAGATTGAGAGACGTGAACTCAAAAAAATGGATGGCAAACCAGCCTTATTTATGTAAGACATTTCACAGGAGGATCTGAAAGCGTATTACAACTGGGAAGCAGCGCGCTGGGTGGAGGCAGACAGGTTTGATTGCTTCCTTTTTAGCAATTCTTATCGTCTAAAAACTGGAGTCTTTGAAAGAGGAAAGGTTTCTTCATCACCCAGGCTATGGCACCACCTCTCCGCATAAGACGGTTTCGAGGAATCAGTAAAGAGGTGATAAAACATTTGCAAAAAAAAATAAAGATATAAAAATTAAGAGGGCTGCAACTAAACGTGAACACTGAATACCACAGAAGCAGACTTGGTAGAATGACACAGTATCATCAAAACCAGTACGTTTCTTTCACTTTGGCCCTTAGTGTTCTGAGTTGAAATTTCTTTGATCAAGATTTTAGCACTATTCAAACTGGATTCGATTTTGTTGCTGACAAAATTATAATTTTACCCTCACCATGTCCTAATCACTTTAAAAATTGTATAAAAAAAAAAAAAACCATATAGATATGTTCATTTATCCCCTGGTTTGCTAACCACTCTGCCAAGCTGTTCCAGCATTCTCTGTGTCTGTCTGGGCAAGCCTTCTTACACACTCAGCGGATTAGTCAATGCCAAGGAGACTAGAGTATTTATTTCCTCTTCAGCTAGTAGCTGGTAATTCTGTCTTCTCAGTTTACAAATATTTATTTGGTGCCAACTGTGTGCTAAGCTGTGGGGAATCGGCAACAAACAAGACAAGCAGTCCCTGTCCACATGGAGCTTACACTTAGAGGCAGGGAGACAGACATTCAGTAACCACACAATTTTCTAATTACCATTTTCACAGCTATTACAAAAGGAAGTACAAGATGCGAGAGATTATAAGAAGGGAAACAAATCTGGTCTGTGGGTTATGGAAACACTGTAAGATGAGCAGGATTTGCCTAGGCGGCGCAGATGAAGTGGATGTGCCTTCAAGTCAGAGGGACTGTCTTATCTAAAGGTCTTGAGATGGGAGAAACACCTTTCTTTGGCTGAAGCACAGTGTCCCGGAGGAGACTGATGAGATGGACAGGGCCTTGTGGCCTGAGAGGGTTCTGATTCTTACCCTAAGAGAGATGGGAATCCTCTGAAACGCTTGCTCTCGCCATAAGGAAATGAGGAGAGCCTGGTGGAGCTGTCTCTAGTTTGAGGAGATCCACCATGTTGTTTCTTGCAAGTCACAGGGACGCAAGCCACTATAATCAAAGAAAAATTTCCTGCGTGGATCTCTGCCTCACTGATACCTGATACGTAGTCTGCAAATCCAAAGAATTTGTAACGAAGCAATACATTAAAATTCCCTCCAAAGGACTTGAGAAGTAGGATCTGCTGCTAATTGAATAGGCTAGTTACCCGAGAGCTACTACGGTTAACTACTTAGTTACCTAACAGGTATGGACTCTAGTGTCAGGCTGTTCTGTTCACAGCTTCACCTCTTACTGGTGTGTGACCTCAGGCAAATTACTTAACCTCTCTGTCATCTGCAAATGGGGAGAGCAGTGTCTATCCAATAGAATTGTTGTGAGGATTAAGGAGTTGATAAAAGTTAGGGCCCTAGAACACTACCTTACTGATACATGGTAGGAGCTCAAAAGTATTAGCTGTTATTACCATGATGCTCATACATGAATTACAAACAAATTATATCCATAGAATTGTAATAGACTAAAATACACTTCAAAACAAAGTCATGCTGTGCTTAATATTGCTTTGATGATTCAGGCACTGAAATATTCACAATATTGAAGGTGATGTTGACTCATTAGGGTATCTCAAAAGGCGTTTTTAGAATAATTCCCTTAGTTACCACATCTTATCATTTCACTTCTTTCCGCAGAGTGGAGAAAAAGTTTAGTAATTTGAAATCTCTTACTGTTTGAAAGCCAGATCAATAGACGTTTACTATGCATGCTTAAGTATTTTTCTTAAATGTGTCTTAAGTACTTAGGATAATACTTAAGTATCATAAATGTGTATTTGGAAAATTTCTGAAAAATTAATATACCAAATTTACCACCTTTGACAGATCTGGACTATAGCTATATAGCATTTTGAGAATTGAGATAATGTCTGTCACAGGTTTGAGTCTCAGTAGATATGTTTTCTGGTATATTATCAATAACAGGACAGTGATTGGCCATCCTTCTGCATTGGTTAAGGCTGTTTTGATAGGAAGTAACTGAAAACCATCCCCGAGTAGGCTTAGCATAAAGAAGGATTTGGTCAAAGATTTTAGGGCATTATTCTTTCTTCACACGGCCACTAACAGCCTCAGTGTTCACAGCTTTGGTCACTAAAGAAAGGCCCACTCACCTTTTAAGTTCCTGTTACAAAAGTCCTAGGCAAGGACTCTGGGGTTGGTCCAGCTGGATCAAGGTGCTCTTCCCTGGAATGATCAAATGGCCAGGACCATTCCAGGCCCTGGAATGATCAAATGGCCAGGATGTACTAACATGGCAGCTATGGATGGGATGGCAGAGGCACTTTCCAGAGGAAAAGGGAGTGCTGAGCAGACGAATCCATCAGTATCCAGACACCAGCTCACACCGTGGTCACTCTGACAGAGCCTTAATCACTCTGGTTGTCTGATCTGTCCTTTCCTGTATCATATGATTCTCCATCCTTGAGGGCAAAATTTAAACCTCCAATTTTACCTTTGGAAGCACTATTTAGAATCATAACAGCTGAGATGCTAAACGGTTGTCTTAGGACATCCCCAAATTTCATAAGCAGGTCCTATGCGTGAGAGAGAAAAATCTGACATAGTTTAAACTTGAACGGGTGGCAAATAGGGTGAATGTCCATTATAAAGCACTTTTCCACGTGTCAGATTTCATTATTTTGTGAGTTAAGACATGTCACCTGTACATTTAAGGGTAGTACATGTCATCTGTGCACACAAGGATCGGTGTGTACCTTGTGAGCACATGAAGCTAGGTACAGACTGTCTGCACACATGAGGAGAGCTGCATGCATCTGTGCTCATAAGAGTGGCGTGACATCTGTACATATCAGGAGAGGTAATCCGTATCATGTGGGCCTAGGAGGATCTTATTCTTATATCGTCACCCCACTGAATAAGCAATGATTACCTGTTACATATTGATTGTAATGCAAGTTATTCCAGTGCCTATGAAGCACAAAACTGAAGATAGAGGGCTTTTTGGTTTGTCTATTTGTGACATATGTGATACCAGTGTCCATCATAGTGGTGTGATGGGTTTTGGAGACAGAACAAGGTGATGCTGGCTAGCATTTACCTAGCTAAACCTCTGTTCCCCATCTGTAGAGAGGGTTAACAGTAAATTCCTCATAGAATTGTTATGAGGATCAAGTAAACTGACATGAAAAGAAGCTAAGATAGTGCCTGGCACATAGCAGGCACAAAATAATCTGTCCATCCAAAAAGAATTTGCTACCTAGGACTCTGTTCTTGGTTTCTAATAACATTCTCCAGTAATAGCAACTGGGCTCCTTGGAGAAATGGCTGATTCTAGGAATGACGCAGGAAATACACAAGATGAACCTGGAGCATCTTGCAATGCCAGAAAGTAATGAACACTCAAAAAGTAAAACAATGAGGGTATGTGTCGTAGCTCAGGCTGCCATAACAAAGCATCATAGACTGGGTGGCTTAAACAACAGAGATTTCTTTCTCACAGTTCTGGAGGCTGGAAAGTCCAGGATCAAAGTGCCAACAAGGTAGACTTTATTCCAAGGCTTCTTCTCTTGGTATGTAGGCAGCCACCATCTCACTGTGTGCTCACGTGATCCTTGTGTGGATGCTGGGAGAGAGAGAAACATGCTCTCCAGTGTCTCTTCTTATAAAGGCACTAATCCCATTATAAGAGGATCCTCATGAGCTCATCTAACCCTGATTACTGCCCAAATGCCCATCTCTAAATACCAACATGTTTGGGATTAGGGGTTCAACATATGAATGTGGCAGGGGAAGGGTACGACACAAACATTCAGTCCAAAATAGCGTGTCAAAGGGGAACAGGAAGCAAATGGAAGAGCCCCTAATGCCCAAAGAGTCCTAATACCAATTTGAGTGGAAAACAACTAATGTAGTATTGAATTATAACCCAGAGTATAAAAGAAATACTCAAGAGTCCATGTTGATGTAAATAAATAAATGTTGGAGAAGAGATGAGTCTCCCATGCAGAAG